GTCATCACACTAATGATAAATTCTTTTTCTATTGTTTCCACGGTCTCTTGAACTAAATAACCATCTAGCAAAAACATGGACCGCACCGTTTCTCAAGCAGCTGCTCCCTCTTAAAAACTGAGTCATTTCAGGAGAAGATCCAGCGAAAGCAGCATTTACTTCTCATGCAAGAAGACACGCATCCACTCATTCACAAGGCACAGAGACATTCTTTGTTTGTCACAGTCTTTTTTTTTTTTTTTTTTTTAAAGTAAGTCAGTTCGTCACTTATTTATTCTCTCTCTCTCTATATATATATATATATAATATTTTAAGCACAGAATTTATTTAACACTGCACTGGTTATTTTCAGAATTTAATGCTTACTATGCTTTTAAGCAGGCCTTGTGTGACATTAGAGCAAATCCAATTGCAATTTTTTGAGAGCGCTCTGAGGAATAGTTTATATATTTATTTTCTGCAGATCTGTTTTGATTTTACTATTTAGCAGCTACCTGACTTTATGTATATGTATATCCATATATTTCTGAAATAAAGCTGTCATATACAACCTTACTTGCATTTCTTATTAGGTTTTTTTTTTTTTTTTTTTTATTTTTTTTTTATTTTTTTATTATCTCCAGGCCACTTAACCCCCAGATCGGGGTCCCTCACATGCTGCACCGCACACAAATGATTATCACGCTTGTACACTACATATGTATATATATGTATACACATATACATACATACACACATACATACACATATGTTACTTTAAAAACCTTTTATTTATTAACTTATGGTGTTCTGTTCAAAGACTGATCAGAACAGGGTTGCAGAATTTGAATTTTGCGTAGCTCCAAACATTAATTTTAGCACTGCAGTGTAATTTACATATACGAGTTGCAACTTTTTAAAGCTCTTATTTATCTTATTTATTTATTTTCTGGTACCGCATCAGGCCTTCACACACACACCCAGCGCTGTACACACACACACACACGGAGCTCCCAAAACTCTGCTCTGCATTCTGCACTCTCCTAGTGCTGCACTTTCAATCCAGAGCCGTAAGCAGCCTCTTGCTGCGCCTCACACACACAGGCTGAACTCAGCTTACACACACAGTGAAGCTTGTCTACAGCTGTGCCTTTTTCCTCTTGATTCTGCAGCCTTCACTTCCCAAATCTTGCTCCAGTTACCTCTACTGTTAACATCTACCCCTTTTCCTTCATCGCCTTTTCTGCTGACTTTCTCAATAAAACCTCATTTCTCGTGGCTTCAACTGGGCTGCTTTTCATATTTTAAACATTACTTATTTTATGCAAAAACAGTTACCTTAGAACATTTTTCTCATCTCATGCAAAAGGCCCTTGACCTTTAAAATCCAGGGAGCTCTCTTTAGCCTCCCCTTCCCTTAACACAAAAATCAGGTCCTTGACCTTAAAATCCAGGGAGCTCTCTTTAGCCTCCCCTTCCCTTAACACAAAAATCAGGTCCTTGACCTTAAAATCCAGGGAGCTCTCTTTAGCCTCCCCTTCCCTTAACATAAAACCAGGTCCTTGACCTGTGGACTTTTAGGGTTCCCACACCTATGGATCCAGCCAAGCATTATATAACCTCGTTATATATTCTATCCGCTCGTCAGCAAATAGTGTGGTCAGCCACGACCTGGAAATGGAACTTTAGGGCTATTCTATTAGCCCTGGGTCACCATCCCTTCTTCTGTACTATTTCCTTATCTCATTTACCATTAAACCATTAAAAAAAATCCTCATTTCATTTCACCATTAAACCATTACAAAAAAAAATCTCTTATTTCTTCTGCACTTGTCTCCACTTTCGTCTCCAACTATTATTTTAGGACCACAGCTACTATGATTCTGGACACAAAGGCTTTGGATAAATCCAATGAGCAGATTTTAGATAATAGGCTCTGCTCACCTTGTTTTCCACCGCGGTGTTCTGTGCCAAGATCGTTCGCTGGGTCAGTGGGTCGAATCGTCCTCCAAAAACTCCTTTTTCTTCAAAAAGAAAAAATCCTGTTCGTGACGCCAAATTTGTTGGTCTTTCTTCTGTTAGACCAAGCACGGGTACGGAGAAGATGGAGTTAAACACCTTTTAAGTTGGCAGAACGAGGAGACAAATGATCAGAAGTCCATTCACTGTTTCGCCGCTCATGAGGGGGAGAGTCTCTGCAGCAAGTCCCGCGACCTGCTCTTGCCAGATGCTTCGGACAGACTCTCGCCGTTCTGCTGAAACGGCTGATTTTTATTGAAGAGTACAGGAATGTAACATACGCAGTTTGCCATGTACATACGTCAATGATCATGACAGGTGAAAATAACAGCCTTGTTAGCGGACAGTTTAATACATCACTAGAACACATCCTTGAGATTACCAGGAACATCCTGATATATTCATGACAGGAGAAGATACATTCACTGGTACCGAGAGGCACTGAGTGGAGATGGAATGTGCACACTCCCTTCTCTTGTGCAGGAGAAGATACACAGCTATTAATCTTTGTGTGAAGGCCTTGAGTATCTGAGCGAGTTTCCATAGCATAGATAATAAAATGAGCTTATAAGGTAAATATATATATATATTGCCTTGTTAGGCAGGATCTAACATGTCACAAGAACTTGTAATTCTTAAGATAAGCAGAAATATCCTTGGTAACCTGGTACAAGAAGAGACTGCAATGTCTCACTCCCTTTTGGAGTTCCTGCAGCTGTTTTAAGAGCTTGTGCAGGAGAGAAACACAGAGAGAGCTTTATATTATAACATGATCCCATAATGAAAAGAGTAGCATGTAAGAATGAATAATAAAAGAGCTTATAATAATATATGAAAGAGCTTATATGAGAGATATATATTTTCAATATGCATTTTGATTGTAGACTTAATTGGCATTATCATGTTGATAAACTAGTTGATAAGTGTATAGAAGTTGTGAATATAATCAGATGTTTGTGTGGTAAGGAATGGGGGGCGGCCATGGTTGCTATGAAAAGACTGTATACTGGGTTGATTAGATCTGTTATTGATTATGGCTGTCTTGCATTTGCATCTGCAGCAAAATCAAGATTAAAAAAGCTGGATGTTATTCAGGGCGCTGCCCTTAGACTCTGTTTAGGTGCAATAAGATCCTCCCCGATATGTGCTCTCCAAGTTGAAGCAGGTGAAATGCAGTTAGAGCTAAGGAGATTACAGACATCATTGTCATATTATGTCTATTTGAAAGAGAGCAAAGAAGATCATCCAACTAGAAATGTTCTTATTCCAACACGGTATCGGTTGAACAGAAAAATAGAATTGTTCGGTATGAAAGTGCAGGACAACATTGAGATGGCTGGAGTGGGTAAGCTGGTGATTGGTCCATCTGTTCTTCATTCGCCATATCCTCCATGGCTGATGCCAGTATCAGTATCAGTAGATACTTGCCTACATGAAAAGATTAGAAAGAGTAAAGGGGACAGTGGTCTACTTGCTATGAGAAATGCGGATATATTCAAATTTTTATTGATGGATTAAAACAACCAGATACAGGAAGAGTTGCAGTAGCCTATGTGATTCCAGAATTGGATACAAAATTTTCAGCAACAATTGCAGATCAATTATCAGTTTTGTCTGCAGAATTAATAGCAATAGTGATGACTCTACAATGGGTGGAACAAGTTAAACTTCTAAGAGTAATAGCATGTACAGATTTGTCATCTGCAGTCGAAAATCTCAGGACACGTAACATGAGTGAAAGGTATGATCTAATGTGTGAGATAATGGTTTTATTAAAAATTATTCAGAATCAAGGAACTCATGCTAGGATTGTCTGGGATCCGTCTCATGTGGGTGGTTGGAAATGAGATGGCAGATAAATTAGCTAAGAAAGCTTTAGGAGAAGTTAGTCAGTGTAATAATTAAATGCAATCTTGCTAAAACAGAAGCTAATTTTTAAATAAAAAATAGCATTAGGAAAATGTGGCAAAGTAAATGGGATGAGGAAAGTAAGGGAAGATTTTTATATAGAATACATCCTAGAGTTGGAAAAGGCAGAAAGGAAGAAACGATGTGGACCAGACTCCGCATCGGACATACGGGACTGAAGAGCACGTTATATTTAATGAACAAACATGAAAATGGTAGATGTGATGTTTGCAATGAGCAAGAATCTGTTGAACATGTAATTATGAATTGTGTAAAATATGAGAGTGAAATAATTTTTTAAAAGAAAATAGAAAATATTAAAGAAATGTTTAGTGTTGAGAATATTTTAAGTAAGACATTAGATCATAAATGTGCTAGCTATTTATTGGAGTTCTTGAAAGATACAGGCCTCAAAAATAGGATATAGTGTCTTTATTTAGATGAAATCATTTTATTATTTTATTTTTGTTTGTGGTTTGCACACTGCATACTATTGGAAGAGTGTGAACAGTAGTAGTGACTGTTCACATGCAATCAGGAGGGTGGCGGTAATGCGCTAAGTAGCTTGCATCCTCTGTTAAACACTCGCTGAAGAAGAAGAAGGCAGGGGCAGGTGGAGCAGATCCTGACAGTGTAACTTTATTTGTTTTTGTATCAGATGCAGAAACACAAAGCAAAACAAAACAAAAGTTGCTTTTTAGTTTTTGGATTGTTAGTTGAAAGTGTAGAACTGATAGTGAAAGCGCAACTGTCACTCGATATTTAGGATGATGTCAGATGGTTGTGTAAACTGCTGCAGGGTAGTAACAGTAGCTATTACCCCTGATGTGTATTTAAGTCTCAGTCTGATGCCAACTGACACGAGAATAACCTCCATCAGTGCAAAGCCTGCATTTAAAAGTGCTAATGATGGTTAAACACCTTTGAAAGATGGCCACTTCAATTATTCAGTTAAGTATGTTGGTTAAGATGAATATTTCATCACATTAAATCAGCTGCATTCACTTTTTTAAACTGTATCGACTAATTTTGCCTCCACCTCACATCACATCTCACCTTGAATTTATATAAAAGAGTTCAAATGACACGGAAAACCAGAATCACATTTGTATTTATTCAAGTCTTGCATCAGCAATATCTGATAACAAATACAAGTAGCTTGCATCATTTTAAGTTTAAACAGCAAAAATATCACAAATGTACATGTTTGTTTTTCAAAATAAAACATCGCATTGGAAATCAGACATTTTAAATACACTAATATTAAAAAAATAACATGCATCAGGAAACAGTTTTGCATTTTATCACAACGCACTCACAGAAGGTGTTTGTAAAAAGGTGTTGCAGGTTTTGTTCTTCACTGGTCACGCACAAAAACATTTAAACAGCATAAGTTAGATTTTTACATGACTACAATAACTTTAACTGTTCCAGACAGACTGAACCGTTCTCTGTTCAAAAGCTTTAAACACGCAGCAGCAGGAGAAGCGTGCATTACGACGACGTCACCGCTGTTGTGCTTGCTGCAGTGGCTGTCTTTGAGATGGCTGTGCTCATCTTAGCACACGTCTTCTGGCTGTGTAGAAAACACATGCTGGTCAAACATCTTTTTAAAAGCATGGATGTAAATGTACATTTAGAATACTTGCACACGTAAAAAAAACCTCATAATTAGTTCCAGAATAATGAATAATGAACAAAAACTGTTGTTTCTTCTCATGCATGCTGGCGTTGATGCAAGTCTGAAGTGTAGAGCCACACACAGCATGGCTGCTGATGTTTTCTACACTACATCTATTAACATTAACCTAGACTACATGTTATGCTGCAGGAAAATTTAACAGTGAATTTTAAGCTTGTCTACTTACTCTGCTCGAAGGACAAATTTGGTGAATTGTGACTCAGGGTCAAGACATTTGGAGCGTTTATCTTTCAGTGCGACACTATTAAAGAAAAATCATATTTATGAGTAAAGCATGTAAATCAATGTTTATGATGGTGTTTTCTGCAGATACTTACATCACTTCACATTTGCTGCAGTACGGGCGCGGTTTAAGCACTCTTACTTCAACGATCATTTTAGGATTTACTGCCTTGATTGAATTCACACACCTGCAGTTTTTAATAGCTGAGGAGAAAAAAATGAGAGTGTAAATAACACAGAACAGATTATCTGTACCCATTAAACTAAATTAATTTCAGGCTGCTTAACTCTTACCTGCAGAGCTGCAGATGGTGATGCATGCAAGGAGAACCGTGAACTGGACTGCAGAATTCATTCTTGTTTCAAATTGGAGACCTTTTGAGTAAGACTTGCTTCTGAAGGTTCTCCCCTCTTGTTGTGAGTTCTTCACTTCTCAAGCTGTCTGACAGTCCTGCACCATGAGCTTCAGACATTTATACTCTCAGCTGGGTGGACACAAGCCAAGTTCTGCTTCTGAAGAACTGATGAAAAAGAAATTTCCACCCTAGTCTTCCCACCTCAGCTGTTGCAATATTTTCCTCTGAATCCTTGAGAGCGCTCGCTTCCCTTAAATAGACTTCCTGTGTAGCACGTTCTTCAGGTTTGAAGCTGTGCTTCAGGCACTTCTAGGGGTCCTGGAGTTTGAACTCTACTTTACTTTCTCCTATTTCATTCTTGCACAAAAATAGTTGACTCATTTGAATTGTCAAGTCCAGTCACTCCTTAACTCGTAACTGTTGATCTAAAACATCTGTGTTTGCACGTTTTACAACCACTTCACTTGGGAATTCTGGAAGAAAGAGACTGAGAAGAAATGTGAGATGATAAATGACCTGCCTCTCCGAGTCAGAGGACTCCAAAGTGCTTCACACTGCAGTGAATCGTTCACCCATTCACACACTGGTGGTGATAGAATAGAATAGAATAAATTGTATTGATCCCACAGTGGGGGGGATTCACTTGCTACAGCAGCACCAACACTTAAGAGAATAATTTGAAGAAAAATAATAACAAAGGTACATGTGTGTACACATAGGCAGTAGTCTATAATAGTAACCTTCAACTGTTTTAAAAAACACAAATAAAAAAATGAACAAATGTGGGTTCCACCAAAACTTTGCAGCATACTGTAATGGACACAGACACATACTGAGTATTGCAAGGGTTATTGTGTAACAGGATAATGCCTGGATGAGCTACAGTGTAGCCACAGCTGCCGTGGGGCACACTGCCAGGGGTGAGGCTGCATGCACTGGTACCACCAGTCCCTCAGACCACCACCAGTAGGCAAGCAGGGTAAAGTGAAGGGTTTGAATTACGAGGAATCTAGGGGAGCCAGGCTCCCCCGAGAGAGTGATGGCTCCCCCGGTTGCGTTCAACTGACACACCCATGGGGAGGGTGAAAAATGATCTAGTTCCCGTCACTCTTATGGGACCTCAACGGCAGCGATTTGGCAAGCACCTCCCCCACTACCACCACAACACACACACTAACAATCTCACTGAGCCTCAACGGGGTGCCATCAGATGGATGATTTGCCCCCCATCCCGCTCTTGCAGCAATCTAAAGGGGCTCCCCCGGAAGCTTGTGGGTAAGTGTCACAAGCCCTAATGAAGTGTCTTGCCCAAGGACACAACAACTGACACTGACGGAGCCTGGATTCAACCCAGCAACCCACTAATTACATGGCAAACTCCTAACCCTTGAGCGACTGTAGCCCCAAGATGAAAACAAAAATGTTATTTGAACTAAATATATGAATAATGAGATCATATTAAACAGAATCAGACCTTGTTAAAAGAAAACAATTATACTTTTACCAATGATGAGCTGATTCACCATTTAATGGATGCATCGTGATGTGACATGTACCAATTCAGTTATGATTTAAAAATGTAAAAAAAAAACTGAAAAGTGTTACAGGATAAAAACATTTGCACTTGCTGCTTGGACACTTTAGGGGACGAACCAGAGGAAAGAACAAAAACAGCAATGGCCGCAGCTACTTTCTCAGCTTCAGTCAATGAGTGTGACGTTTGGTAACTTGAATTGATGTCTGCTGAATTAATTTGAAAGTAAGAAAAATCTATTACGCGAGAAAAAGCCTAAATGGTGAAAAAGTGCATCAAAAACATCGGTAATTGTCCAAATCCATGGCCCCTGAATCAATGTTGGTGAATACTCAGAAACGTGCCAAATTCTGATTTGCCAAACTTGGCCAGAAATCATAACAAAGTAGTTTAATAAAACAAGAATTACTTCCCGAGTAATTCAGTTTCCAGCTGAGCCCTCCCTGATTCGGGCAAATCGGGAAAGAAGCCTCTTTTGAAACAAACTCCTTTGACCTTAAGTCAAAACCTTCCTGCGACGCTGCAAGTGATTACAGACACAACAGCTCTTTTCAGAGCTACTTCACACCTTGGACACCTAATCTCCAGACCCCGGGTTGCATCTCATGGAAGTCGAACTCAGAGGAAGCTTCTAATCTCTGAATATTGTGGTTTCGACGTCAGGTGACCTCACCACTCTGATCGCAACCCTCCGGAACGCCGGGAGCAACTCATACAAGGGTGTCATAAGCCTGCATACTGGTGTCTGATGAGGTTTTAAGTAAACAACTCTCTAGTTTAAAACAAACATCAAGCTCTTTTACACCCAGATTTCACATTTTCTCTCAGATACAAAGAACGATTGCTGCAACATCTAGCTTCCATCACAACACCTCACACCCACCACATCACATCTCATTATTCATATCATGTCATGTATCATTAGTTTAGGAAAAATAATTAAGTTCATTTTATAAACTATATACTGACTTTGAATTAATGCGAAGTGTGTTTATGGTCCCTGAATAAGCAGAGAACCCTAGAATCTTCTGATTAAACATTCAACGATCAATCAGAATGATATTTCATGTTTGTATGGAATATCACATCTTATTGGTAATTAATTAATAATTAACATGTATTAACTGCTACAGAGCTCAATCTTAAGTTTGGTTTCACTCATTCATTGATAATTAGGGATTATGAACCCACTGAGTCTTTGAAGATCATAAAAAACACACTGGCTGTCAGCGGTTTTACATTCTTCTCAGGTACAAAATAAAGGAAGTTGGCATGTTTTTAAATGGTGAAGCTACATTTCACTCACTTACAATGGGTGTTTGTAATCCTGATCAAATCTTGATCTAATGTTATGATTCCATAAGCCTCAGAAATATTGTCAAAGGTCAAAGGTACTGACAATCTACTCCAGACTTGTAACTTTTACTGGAACAGGCACAACTGTGATGTGAAGCAAAACCTGGCACCTCTTTCTGTGTGGGGGAGTGTGTCGCAACAAGACACGGTTAAACCCCAGAGGACAAATATCTTCAGTATTCATGAGAACTTTCACTTCTATTCCCCAAAGCAAGGAAATGACATAGTCAGCAGACCAAGTGATTAGATGTTATCAGCTGTGGGGGAGGACGTGTGTTGAATTTGATGAATTTCTTGTTCAACTCACAGGTCACCTAAAATCTATAAATCTCTGTTATGTAATTTTTTTTAAAAGTCTGATTTATACACTCAAAAATATAAACACAACACCTTTGTTTCTGCTCCGACTTTTCATGAGATGGACTTAAAGATCTACAATTCATTCCAGATACACAATATTACCATTTCTCTCAAACTTTGTTCACAAATCAGTCTAAATGTGTGATGGTGAGCACCTGTGCTTTGCTGAGACAATCCATCCCACCTCACAGGTGTGCCACATCAAGATGCTGATCCGACATCATGAGTAGTGCACAGGTGTACCTTATACTGCCCACAATAAAATGCCACCCTGGAATGTGCAGTTTTTTTTGGTTTATTGGGTGTCTGGGGACTCAGAACCGGTCAGTATCTGGTGTGACCACCATTTGCCTCATGCAGTGCAACACATCGTCTTCGCGTAGAGTTAATCAGATTGTCAATTGTGGCCTGTGGAATGTTGGTCCAGTCCTCTTCAATGGCTGTGCGAAGTTATTGGATATTAGTGGGAACTGGTACACGCTGTCGTATACACCGGTCAAGCACATCCCAAACATGCTCAACGGGCGACATGTCTGGTGAGTATGCTGGCCATGCAAGAACTGGGGCATTTTCAGCTTCCAAGAATTGTGTGCAGATCCTTGCAACATGGGGCAGTGCATTATCTTGCTGAAACATGAGGTGATGTTCATGGATGTACGGCACAACAATGGGCCTCAGGATCTCATCACGGTATCTCTGTGCATTCAAAAAGCCATCAATAAAATGCACCTGTGTTCTTCATCCATAACAGATACCTGCCCAAACCATAACCCCACCACCACCACGGGCCACTCGATCCACAACATTCACATCAGCAAAGCACTCACCCACACGACGCCACACACGCTGTCTGCCATCTGCCCTGAACAATGTAAACCGAGATTCATCCGTGAAGAGAACACCTCTCCAACGTGCCAGACGCCATCAAATGTGAGCATTTGCCCACTCAAATCTGTTACGGCGACAAGCTGGAGTCAGGTCAAGACCCCGATGAGGACGGCGAGCATGCAGTTGAGCTTCCCTGAGAAGGTTTCTGACAGTTTGTGCAGAAATTGTTTGGTTATGCAAACCAATAGTTTCAGCAGCTGTCTGAGTGGCTGGTCTCAGACGATCTTGGAGGTGAACCTGCTGGATGTGGAGGTCCTGGGCTGGTGTGGTTACACGCCGTCTGCTGTTGTGAGGTCGGTTGGATGTACTGTCATATTCTCTGAAACGCCTTTGGAGACTGCTTATGGTGGAGAAATGAACATTCAATGAACGAGCAACAGATCTGCTTGACATTCCTGCTGTCAGCATGCCAATTGCACTCTCCCTCAATGCTTGTGGCATCAGTGGCATTTTGCTGTGAGACAAAACTGCACATTCCAGGGTGGCCTTTTATTGTGGGCAGTATAAGATACACCTATGCACTACTCATGATGTCGGATCAGCGTCTTGATGTGGCACACCTGTGAGGTGGGATGGATTATCTCAGCAAAGCAGAAGTGCTCACTATCACACATTTAGACTGATTTGTGAACAATGTGTGAGAGAAATGGTAATATTGTGTATCTGGAATGCATTTTAGATCTTTAAGTCCATCTCATGAAAAATCAGAACAGAAACAAAGATGTTGCGTTTATATTTTTGTTTAGTCTATATATATTTTTTTTAATTGAATTCGTTTTTGCCATATTGTTTGAAATGCTCTTCACACATCAATGGCAACATATAAAATATTTTTTTTGTGAAAAACATGAATAATTTAATTGTTTCTGAAATGTACAATCCTGGAAAAACCACATCCAATCATTGTGAACGTCCCAGTCGTAACTATTGGATCATGATTCATCCATCAAATTAGCCCCTGACCAACGGTGCCATATGCTGACAGGCAGGGCAGGCAGCTGTGCGAGGCTCCTGGGTCAGCTGGGGCCCCCAGAGGACCAACAAACTTGGA